TTGAGTTGACCAAAGGGTACTCTTCAGCATCAGGATACATAAACACAGTCATAACTTTTGGTGGATCTTTGTACTTTTAGTCATGCTTTGAGATATTAACCCATTTTGAAGGAGAGATTAACCTTGTAGTTTTTAGTGACTGTGTTCACTGATGCCAATGCTGAAATTTTTATCAATATTCTGTAGTCAAGTAACCCTTAAAGATTGCTCTGTAGTCATTTACCAGTGAGATGTAAGAATTCAAGAAGAGACTTTGTGGAACAGAACAATTCTACTTAGTCTAGCATTCTGTTTGCACAAAGTATCTGCTTGAAAGGCACAAGCTGTTCTCCATGCTGAACTTGACTTAAGGGTGCATCTGAGAATCTATATCATTACTCCATAAAGACAAGGGTTTGAACAGTAACGCCAGTTCCTGCGTGCTGTGAACAACTTGCTCTGCATTTGTGTTAGGGTCGTCATGAGCATGGCCCTATTCATCCAAGATGGGTTAGTCCTTCATGAGCATACCATATAAAGAGGCACAAAAGAGCATAGCTTGGAAAATGTTAATTGCAAACTAGACTGGGCTGAAGTATTTGGCCCAGTGATTTTAGTAAATCTGGTGAGGAAAAATGGCTCCATGCAGCCATTTCAGCCAACTGCTGAGCCACATGTCTCTGTGCTGTTGTTCCCAGCAGCATTCTTGGGATAAAATGAGGGGTTTGACTTTTGGCCAGACTTTTTAAAAAATTCATTTTCCACTAATACCTTTGCAATGCAACCCTATGCAGGTTTAGGCAGAAAAAGGCCCACAACTTTCAACATTCCTTGGCATTGCTGGGAATTATTGGGCTTTTTTTCTTTTCCATACCTGCTTAGGATTCCATATTTAATTGGTAGTACAATTATGACTCCAGCTTGGGGGAATTTACCCAGCACTATACACATCTACTCTTCTCTATATGGAGTTGTCTAATTTTCATTGGTGGCTGCAATGTTGGTGGTGTTCAGATTTTACTTTGAGCTTTAAAGGGGTTATCCATGATACAGAACTCTATTCACAAAATAGATTTGGCACCACAGGTTTTTCCTTTAAAATTCAGACTGCAACCCAGAATGAATACATAGCACTACTGACACTGGAACTGCCAAAGTCTACTGCTAATTTTCATGTTCAGAAAATACCATCTCATGTTCAAGGATAGGCTAGCCATGCACATGGTGGGCATGTCATGATCGGAGCCGGCTAGAGCTAGGGGTCAGACTAGATGGCCTGGGAGACCCCTTCTGACTCGCTCTCTTTCTATGCTTCTATGCTTTAAAGTAAGAGCTATTTTGCAAAGCCCTATACCAGGGGTCTCAAACTCGCGGCCCGCAGGCCAATTGCCGGGACGGGCAGGGCACGGGGGAGGGGCCCTGCGGCCTTCAAAGCGCCGGCGGCGCCCGGGCCGGCCTCCGGGAGCGACGCAGGATGAGCGGCCCACCACCACTGCCGTGGTGGAATACTTGATGCGGCCCAGCCTCACCCAGACTCTACTTCCAGCGGCCCCCAGGTAAGTTGAGTTTGAGACCCCTGCTCTATACTATATACAATAGCTTCCTTTCTCTGGACTTACACTGCAAGAGTCCAAACAGCTTTGCTCATTCCAGTGCTGCAGGGCTGAAATTCTAGTTTCATCTAGCTCTATGGCTTTGCACTGAACAAAGGCAGCTAGGACTTTTCTTGACATTGTAATGTGCTGGAGTGAGTGATAACTACTAAATACAAGTGACATGATTCAATAAAGTCAGTTACTATAAGTCTTTTAAACTAGAAATCCCATGTGGGCCTGTCAGCACAACTGACAGCTGAAAGTTCATTTATGAATATCTTAGAGCAGACTTGACAGACCGATGAATCTCAAATTACATCTACATAGATGAAGCAGCTTGTAAAATTTCTCTGATTCACCTTACATTAGTGTACTTTGCTTGTGGAAAGGACTCAAACTAACCCTTCAATTGGGTACATAATTGCAGCAGTTAGATTGACAAGATACCCTGCTGTGCACAGCAGAAAGCCGTGCATAGTACATTTTCACATGGGTCTTGAGTAAGAACATATTGAGACAAATGAATAATCCTTCAGAAGCCCTATATTTTAGGATCCTCAGCTGAAAAGGGGGCTCCCTGGCCTGAAGGGGCAGAAGATGAATATTTTAGATGTGTGGTCTGTAAATAGGAGGCTGTGCTGAAGAATAAGTAAGATTATCAATCCATGTAGTGTTTTGCATCAGTTCTTTCAATTCATGCATGCACCTCCTATTAAATTAAAGGATTCACAAGCCTGTTTTCACACTAGGATATATGAAGCCTGAAGAAGTCCCAGGCTCGGTTGCTACTCAGTAGTTAAGCAGAGAAGTGGCTGGCCCAGGGCTGGCCCAGCCATGAAGTAGGTTGAGTTGCCCACATCAGATAGCAAAATGGGAGGAATGGGGCACTGAGCCACCCTGCTCCCACACCTGCCAGGTGGACCTTCTGCCAGAGCTTCCAGAAGGTGCTTTGAAGAGCCCTGCAAAGTAGATTACATAATGCATTATACATGCAGTTGTCTTTGAAGAGAGTTTTGAAACAGCAGCTAGTTCAAAATACAGCAGCAATGTTGTTAAATGATACCAGGAATTATGATCTTATTACATCTGTGCTTTATGGCTGCTCTGGTTCCCACTTTATTTCTGGGCTCAATTCAAGGTTCTAATTCTCACCTTAAAGCCTTTCATACCCAAAGGCTGCTTGTCTCTCCATGTACCTATTCTGCCTGAGCTTCTAAAGATCTTCAACCAAGACTATCCTTTGAGTGTTTCTACCATCTGAGAAGTAACAAGGACCTGGAGGGGAAAGGGCGTATTCTGTGGTAACACCCTGCCTACAGAATCGTCTTTCCAAGTGGGGCTCTCACCTAGCACCTCCTTCAAAATAGTTTTAGTGCTAAGCAAGGGCCTCTTTATTTTCTCCTTTGTAAAAAGCAGCTTTTGTAGTGCTTGGACATTCTCTTAGTTCTACCAGTTGGTTTTATACTGCTTTTTTCTATTGTGGTGTTTTAGTGTTTTATTTCAAGTTGTCTTAATTTACTTGTAACTTCTTGTAAGCTCCCTGGGATCCAGTTGAATGGTGGGTATAAGGTAAAAAAAGTAAAAATACTAAACCATGTAGGTCTGACTTTCGATGATAAGGCAGCTTGCTACGGCCCTCCCACCACTAGTTGCTGTATAGTAGTGGTGCCACTTAAGTGGATGGGGCCTTCTGTCACCACTTGAGTACCCGCATACCCTACTGTCATTGTGTATTCAAATCTTGAAACAGTATTGTTGTGAAAAAGCTCCTGTAAAATAACAACTGAAAAACTGGTGAAAAGTCAGAGATTTCAAAGAAAAAGCAGGAACCCTCCCGGTTTTTTTTTTGTTTTTGTTTTTTGTTTTTTGCTGTTTTCTGTTTATTGTTTTAATTTACCTTGAGCTTCAATTGGAGCAGTAAGAGGAGATACCAGTGTCCACTTATGTAGAGGAAATGCCATGTGCGAAACAAGTCATAGTCTCGGTGCATTTGAGGATGAATTTTGCAGACTAAACACTGCAATTGATTCCTTCTCTATGGAGCTTAAGACTGGAACAGGGAGAAAAATATGGAAGGGATTGTAAGAAAGAAAGAGATATGCATCAGAATTTGTGTGCAAATTAACACGGACCACATTTAGCTGATCTGCAGTAGTGCAGCTTAGGGCCTGATGGAACTTGTTAAAAAGTGTCTTAACATCAATATTCTGGAACACAGTTTACAGTATAGGAGTTGTTCTGAAATAATAAGCAAACCCAGGCAGCACAGTACAAAAAGTGCATTGCTGTGCTAGCGGAAAAAGTTCAAGAAGAGACCTAAGGGTAAGAAAGGGAATCAATCTTGCACCTAATTAAAGCTAAGGTCAAGGATGTTTAAGCAAACTTATTTTCCTGCATCTGTATGGGATGGCATTTGAGATTTGCTGGAACCAAACAGAAGCAGCATTAAGATAAACAAGTACCACTAAGTGTGTGAGAGAATGAGTTAAGCACAAATGGACAGGGAATGGCATCTAAGGGGCATTTGCCACACGTGTGTAATTAATATACTTATAAGTGCTATACCGGTAGAACAAGCTAGGAATATGGATCAGACAGCCAGAAAGGTAAGCAGCCTGAATAAAGGTGAGAAGCTTGAACACAGGTAAGGATCTTGAACAAAGAAACCTAAAGAAGCTATAGTACAACAATAAAACATCCAGGTTTTTTTTTTAAATAGGCAAGAACTTTATTGAGGAAGAAAGGATACCATTCTGACCCTTACACCAAGTCAAAGGAGAAGGCTAAAATACTTTATCTGCTTTCATCAAAATTTAACTATAAAATATGATAATTATTATCATTTTCCAAATATGAGAAACCATCTCTGACTGTTAGAAATTGCTCAGCACATTGAAAATGACCACATTTCTCTTTTCTTCTCTACCCTTTCATCTTACTGGAACACACAATCTTTCTTCTCTCCTTTACAAGGAGTTCACTAAAGATTGTCAGAGGATGAATAATGAAGTGGGGCATGCTTTGCAAATAGTTTTGCTAAGAGGGCAGGAAGGAACTAAGGGTCCTGATCTCTTAGAATGTTCGCCAGGGTGGTACAGGAATACACCTAATGAATCAAGTTTTCCCCATGTGGCTTAGGAGTTACTGAATGGCTTAGATACTATTGGGAGTGGAATGGTTCAGACAAATACCTTCACATGTTAAAAGCACTTGGGAGAAGGGTTGCAGGATGAACTCTGTGTAAGTACATCAGTATACCTGTAGGGACCTCTTTCAAAGCCGCTAGGCATACAGCTAACATGGAATGTCACTAGTGGAGGATCTCCTTACCTGTACTTTTAATCACAAGCATGATTGTCTAACCCCTCTGTTGCAAGGAACTGATAGACATAATTCCTCTTGTCCCACAAATGCGATGGGGGGGGGGGAGGCTTGTCACTATTGCCTAAGCTAACATTGATTAAGCAATGCAAATAAATATAAAACTTAAAATGACCCAGCATGATGTATTAGAAGCTAAACTTAGGTTGTTGTGAACAACAACAACAATGGAATAGGCTCGAGAGGTGTTACTTCCAATACCTGGAGCCTGTTTTTCTCTTTTTGGTGTTAATTACTCATTGCTGAATATAATTCACATTGTTACATAATATGTCTTATTGTGAAGACTCCTGATTTTACAGTACATTGCTGACCAACTTATAAAGTATTCACGTATAACCAGATTTTCTTAAAATGTTTTTGTAGTTTTTGCAGATGATACCTCAGTGCTGATTTGCTTTCTTTCACCATGCTCTGGCTTCTGTTAATCAAGTATAAGAACTTACAGACTTTCCACTAATAATTAAGAAAAAGTACTTGTTGAAAAAATCACGAAGTTAGCAAATTATTCTTACCCCAGTCTTAGTGTTCCTAACCATATAAAAAACAAATATGAGTGACGGATTCATTGCACAAGTTTCACTCTAGATCATGCAGAATTCCATGGGGAAAAATTCTTCATAGCAATTTCATTACATGTTCCTTGCCTTAATCAGATGTTGGATACCAGTCTAAGATCTTGTTTCCTCTAGCCTTGGCATTTGCAAATATTACATTAGTGCTAACACAGCGTTTCGACATAAATCACTCACAGTGTTTGTTTTCGCTTTGTCTTACACAATTGTGACCAAACATAATACTAACCATGCAGCAGCAAATCCCCATAGCCAAGCTGCTATACAAGAGTGGGGCTTGAAAAACCTGCCAATATTTCAATATCTGTTCCGAGTTGGATCAAATATGTATATGCCAGAATTAACTTTGCTTGAATAACCATGCTGGTTAAAAATGTCAATTCACTAAGTTAACAAAATCTATCTATTATTATGGTCTTACTAAAGCATAAGAAGCCATTGCACAGAATTAGCAATCTATCGACCACAAACACAGTTTACAGTATAGTCTGTAGAAACTTGTGTTGAGGTCCTGATAATTTCTAAAAGACTTAAGCTACTGAAACGATTAAAGTCAATTAAAGTCATTCCAGAGTAAGACCCCATCCCCAGTGTGCAAGCTTGAAAATAAAATGTCTAGAGTTTAAAGACACAATGAGTTTATAGACTTATTTGGGATGGGAATACATAGCACACTAGCACTTATCATACTTGGGACTTATCCACATCCTACCAAACATACGTTGTATTATTTTACTTTCCAAGTTGTGCAATGCAATCCTAACTGAATCTGCTTAGAAGTAAATCCCACTGAGCTCAACACCCAAAGCAGATGCTCTGCAAAAACATAGCTTGTAGCTACATATCATCTTCACTTAATTACAGGTGAAGAAAGAGCATCCAGGGAAGGGCAGCTTAACTTTTGAACACCATCAAATTAGGCTGCATGTTATCTATTTACAGAGTACCAGTTTTAGCTCTAAGCACAATTAAGGCTGCAACTTCAGTGAACTATTGATTACACCGCAAGGAGACACACACAGAATGGAAACTTAACCAGGACAGATTGATGACAGGTTCTAGTGCCAATATGTTCATCTGAAATGACCTTGTAAATTCACCCTTAATGTTGTTTCCATTCTAACTTCACTGAATTTAGTAAACATTTTTAGTTTGGAAAAAAAAGACATGAAAAAAGTGATTATGTGAAAACATCAGTGTTATTTTTGTGCCTTGTGTTCACAAATCAAGTGAACAATGGGAGGTTATGCACCTCCAAAGGAAACACTAGACACTCTCTTGTGTAAGCCAAGTTAGCTGTCAGTTTCTCCATGGACATTTTCCATGTGTACTTTGAGGTAGTCGTTTCTTGTAAACTTTTTGTGACAGAGCTGGCATTCAGCCATGGGGCGGTTGGGATTGTGAGTCAGCTTGTGCCGGATCAGCATTTTCTTCAGGCTGAATGATAAATCACAAACCTAAAGCATAGATAAAAAGACAAAAGCCAAAACAAAGCCATTGAATCGACTGAAATTAAAAAATAAAAATGCAACAAATAGATATTTGTGCACTCAACATAAACTCAGATAAGCATGAAATCAACATTCATCACCAATGTTGAAAGGTTGATAGCCTCTCCCTTTCCCAACTAATCATACAAGGGTGCTTTAGCTATACTGCTTGATCTCTTATAGCTTAAACAGCCACCTCCTCTTCCTGCAAAGTCTGCATTTTATATTGTGATTACAAAGGGACTAGAGCAGGTATGCAGGAAGCATGCAATTCGCAATATGTTTTGGGCCATCCAAAACCATAAACCAAAACTTGGCATACCATTGACATTGGCATGTGGACATCAGACATGTCAGCTGTGCAAATTATTCCCACTGTACTCAGGTAAAACATTTTGAGAGTGCCCCTGAACAAGTGCGCAACCTAAACAAGCCTTAGGAAATGCAAACCTCCAAGAGGGCGGCCTCCACACCACAACTGAGGCACAAGACACTATCAAGCACAGCACCCACAAGGTAATGAAACACAATATGGGCATGTAAAAATGGATACAGTACAGGAGGTGTGTACCACACATTAAGCTTTGGAACACCCTAAGCCATACACTGCCAGAGGAGTGTGCTCTGTGAATAGCATAGCATCATATCCAGCCCAATTCTTCTTCATTTGGACACAGTACATTGTCAAGTTCAGAGACCCACACTGTCTCTCTTTTTGTGATACAACATCACTCTTTGCTGGGAAAGGTAAAACACTAGCTTTTCAGCTGTGACATATTTCCAGAGGTCACGGCTGTATTTCTGACACTGGCAGAATCCCCACACCATAATCCTGACAATACCACAGCGCTACTTGGAAGGTCTGTACTTCTGTATGATAGAACCAGTGAACTGTACAAAGTCAGTGAGGCAAAGCAGCATCTGTTTTCAAGAAGGTTCCACTTCCTGAAGAATATTCCACCAACACAGATGTGTGTTGTTTGAGAAACATCTGTGTCAGTGGAAAATATTCTTTTGTTCCAACATTTAAAAAGGTTCCCCCTGAAAATTGATTTGTTTTCCCCACTATTGTTCAGTGATGGATATGCTCTGACCAATCACCTGCACCAAAACAGTCCATGTAAGATTGGATGATCATGTATTTGCACATTAGAGGCTTAATGCATTTCCAATGATCTACTAAGCAGTTAAGGGCAACTGAATCAGCTGATCATCACTCATACCCAAGGAAAAATGGTTCTGTACAATCTCTCCTGTGCAACATTTAGTTGTGCCACTCAGATCAAAGTATTCCCAGGGAGCAGCCTAGAGCTTTAAAAATGATCATACATTTTCCCCACTAGAGCTGTAAGAGCTGGGGAAGAACAAGCAATGAAACAAATCCTGTCTCCTGATGGACGCCAAAGTAATATAAAATGAGGAGAAGAAGCAAGGTGTCATTATAGCTTCACATTGAAGCAGGTATTCCATGTATTGTCTTATGCTGCATGAAATTATTGATAAGATGTGCTTATCTTAGACTACAGTATTTAAAAGGTGATTTTGGTAGCATATGGAGGACCAGGGAATTAAGGTGTTCTAATGACCACAATTACTTCTTTATGGAACACAGGAAGAAAAGTAATATTAATTTATAGTGATGAAAATTTTATAATCTCTAAGGATCCAACTGGTGTTATTTAATAGAGACAGATCTTATTTTCTGATAGGATGACATTTTTGCCTTCTGGGCCTAACTTTTTACATTTTGGGAGCACAAAATGCCAGTGTTGGTATTTTCCAGTTTCAACTCCTTTCCAAGCAACTCTAGAACTTAAATCTTTGAAGAGGGTAGAGGAGGACGCAGATTGTTACTAGTGCACATATGGGTGGGCCCTCCAGATGTTGCTAGACCACGGCCCTTTTGGCCACGCTGGATGGGGATCATGGCGTTGTAGACCAGCAACATCTGCAGGGCCACCCATTCCGCTAAGGCAGCATACAGTATGAGTGCAGCCCTATTTAGGCATTCTCTGATCTGGTAGTTCAAGCACACAAGGAGAGAGATGTGCCCTATCCGTATCATCTCTGTTGCAGTGGGTCCACCACTATTGTAGGCTCTCCACTTTTGCCAGAATGCTAGAAAATCAGCATTCTACTATACATGCTAAAATGTCAGGGCTCCACCAGCGAACCTCCATGGCCACAGCAGCACCATGGGTCAAAGGCTGCCCTCCACAAGTAGAAAGAGATTTGGAGAAACTAGGGCTGAAATGGCCTCTGTCCTCATGCACTTGATCTACCTGAATAGGGATGTGTGTATATGTGCACATGCACATGTTTGCACAGTCTTTGTTACTATGGGCTATAACCAACTGGGACCCACCATGTGTACAATGGGAAGGCAGCGTTTCCTAAGGGCCTGGTTGAAATCTGGATGGGTGACTTACTGTCGTAAACTACCCAGAGAGCTTTGGCTATGGGTGGTATAGAAATGTGAATAGCAGCAGCAGTAGTAGTAGTAGTAAGGAAACTGGAAACAAGCCAAAAATGCCCATTTCAGGAAGAGAACAGGAAAGTGGAGTTAGCGGAAGGAAGTTCCACCGACCTGTTCAATTTCAACTCCCTTACAGAATACTCTAGGAAGCACTAGCTTCCTGCCACACTATTTGTGCAGCACAAACAGCAGAGCTGCAGTTGTAGCATAGGATGCTGCCCAAGAGTTTCAAGCAAAAGACCAAGCACTATCTTTCAGAACAAATAAAGACAGCAGGGTGAACGGAGCTTTCCAGAACGTGTAACAATAAGGCTCCAGGAGTAATCACTGTTATGAAATCGGGGTGCAGCAGCCATGTTCCTATTCTTATATGTAAAATGCTGAAGGGCATTCCGTCTCTATCTTGCCTGTGTCATCAACACGGTCAGGTGTTACCATGTGGACTAATATGCCACCCTGATGCTACAGGAACTCTGATCACACCTATTGCACACTTAAATGGCAATGTCTCTTTTATCAAAACAATGAGGCTGAAGCAGATGCAGATGTGATAAATAAGCCCATTTAACCCCATACGTACTGCAGATGACCTCATTTGCATAAGTATCCATGTAAGAACACCATAGATTTATAATTTTTCTTACTGGAAATAACTGTAAGAATATCAACCTCAGCTGATAGGTTGTGTCAAATTCTGCTACCAGTAAGTAGTTTTTAATGAGTCTCAATCATGCACTGATGACAGTTTAACTATGGCACATTATCTTTGCAAAAGGGAAAAGAATAAACTGCTTACAGATGCACACTTAATACCTTCTCCTCACTAAGCAGTAAATGCCTCTTGATATGCTAGAACTGTAACATTTCAAAAGGCTGCAAATAAATAAAGAAGTGTGCACTGCCAAGGTTAAAAAAAGCAATCCAAAAGGTTTGTAAAGTAGTCACTGAATGCATGAAGATAAATTCAAATATGGGTTGCTTCAAATAAGAAAGGTGAGGTGAGCCATACAAAACAGAGCTTTTTCTTGACATTGTAAAAAGAAGTTTTCTCCCTGCTGCTATGTTCTTCTAGAACAAGGGAGCAGCACCTAAGGTGAGGCATGTATGTACAGTATAAAATCTGGTCTGTCTATGTTTCATGGATTGTCAGGTGGTTTTTGTTCCTTCATTGGCTCATTAATTTTGCACAAATCCATTCATATGCAACTCTGTTTGCAAAATTAGCATATTCCAGCATATGCAAATAGCAAAACGTGTGTTTTCATACTTTACCCTATGGGAAAATATGCATTTTTGGTTGGTGTTTTTTAAACTTTTTCATTATGTACCAAGCTGATACTATTATGACAAAGTGCAGAATGTTTTCTTATATGCTGGTAGAAAGAAAACTTGAATGTGGATCTGGAATTCTGCAGATAAGCAATCAACTGCAATCAATAATCAAAGCCTATGACTGACCAGCCAGATAATATTTCAGATAAACCTTAGGGTTGTTTGTTTTGTTGCCTCAATCTTTAAAGTTAGGATTTCACCAAATACTTTTTTATACTGTAGAGGTATTTTTATTGTTAGGGATTCAAATGCAACGGAACTTGGAGAAAAAGCTGATGTAAAAGCAGTGACAGAGGCTCTGTTTGTTTGCTATATATACACACACTGTGTCTCTGCTAATGCATTTGTGCAGAAGAGAAAATATAGGCAGCTGCTTTCCTATCCCGTCTACGTAGTTGAAATGAACTAAGATGGCAAAATGTAACATAGCTCAATTTAGACTCAATCATCCCAAACCATGGTTTGTACAATATACTTAAGGACCCATCCCATGTTCTGAGCTTCTATGCATACACCCAGTTTTTATAGCTTCTAGTCTCTTTCATTTTCTCTGTGTTCAGTAATCAGTTCAAAAGTGCATTCTGATTTTTCTGGTGAATGTGTTCCTCCAAAGGATTGTCTAATTGGATTGCCCATAGTTTGAAAAATCAGACATAACAACAGAAGTAATCCTGGTCTCAGTACATGGCTTGGCTTTACAAGAGAAGAAAAAGAATGCAAAGGCACGTTGCACATAACATGCCTACTACATTTAGATGAAAACAGGGAGGAGACTGGCAAAGAACTACTTCTGCTTTTAATTCTAGTTGCAAAGGGCAATATATATTTATCCTTTAAAAGGAACTTTTTTCTAATGTGCCAGAATCTCAGTGTTTTCTGCTACTGTAGAATTCTCCTGAGACACATTAAAGTGTTTTACTCTAATAAGTTAAACTTGATCTCGTTTAAACTTCTGTCATGAAAGGCTTTTCCTGATGCTAATAGCAGAGTTAATATTAGCAATGCTAAAGCCTGGCACTTAGGAAAAATAAGATTTCCCATATTGTCTGCTCTCATAGAATGATTCTAGCTACTGGTGTTCTGGGGGTCTTTTAGCTTCTCTTAAAATCAGAGAACATGTAATGGGGAGAGGTTAAGCATGTACTTTCCCCTAGATTTGAGCACATGAGTCAAAATCACAACAGTGAGTTTACAATAAACCACTACAATAAATGGCTTTTCAGAAGCCTCTACAGCTCACTGATGATGTAAGAACTGGCCCTCAGCTAAAGGTGAAAAGGCAGTGTGATTTTGTGGACAATCTTGCATGTGTACACCGGTGTGTGTGCATGTGCGTATGCATACACACACACCCCTACATGTATGCAACTCCCCTCATTCTTGGTTGGTCTCTCTCTGTGTGTCTCTTTTTCTCCCGCTTCTACCCATGTGGGTGCTCCATATAATTTTGCTGTTCCATCTTGCTGAATCTCTGTGGGGATTGGCTCTCCCTTTCTGCTCTTTGAGTTGGGTGGGGGACTTTCCATCCTCCCTCTCTTCGGGTCCAGAGCCATTTTGCAATGGGAACTCTCCTCTATGGCAGCCATTTTGAGACATTCTTGCAAAATCCAAATGTGCCGAACAGTCCAAAAAAAAGTTAGGAACTACTATACATTATTAATTTTAAGAAACCAATAGAAGTAAACTCCAGTGAATGATTCTTTCAAAATTCCTCATAACCATAGGCAATTACTGAAAGGAAAGAAGAAACCACAGAAAAGTAAACCCATAATTGTTACTTTTTAATGCCAACTTTCTAATTAAAGTAAGTATTTTACTAGGTATTTTCAGAGTCATAGGGCTGGCAGTAATTTCCTCTAGGCCTGCATCAGTTGCTTAACCAGAAGGAAGCAAGGTCAAACAAAAAAGATGTAGTCTCTAAAATCTTTCCCCAAATAGGCATCCCTCACATGTGCAAGGAGGCTACACATGTAATCATGAACACTAACATTAGGAAAATTACTATAGGAAAATTACACAACACTGCAAATAGTCTGAAAACTAAAACTTGTAATCCTGCTTGTATATAAGGCCAAACTGTACAATTTGAAGAGTGCATTACATATATTGTGTTTTAAAAATTTAATTAAAAATCAGTGCAGAGGTGATGGCAATCAAATACCAGTGGCTTCTGTCCCAGGGTAAAACTAGTTTAAGAAGATGACAATTTTCATCAAAACCACAACGGGATATTTAACCCCCTTCCTCATATACTAGGTTTTGAACCTGACTCTTGACACTGCATGGTAGCATTTAAATTTGAAAACTGATGCCTATCATCTTGTTTGACCTTTACTTGGTGGGAAAGCCGACTAAATACACTTTATGATCCCAGAAAACAGGCCCAGTTTTGGGATACAATGCTATGCAAATAATCAACAATGGCTGAACTAAGACTTAATATGCAACTAAGCTTGGACTTTGACCTCACAGTGGCCTAGCATGTACACCAGGTTGTTGTGAATGAAGCAAGGGTGAGCAGGTGTATTCCTCCTGCAATAGGACAGGAGGAATACACCTAGGTATTCCTAGAAACCTAGGTATCTGGGTTTGGGTATCAAGGATAAGAAGCCAGTGATGTAATGTCTCTGGGAGTTTGAAGGCTGAACACCAGCCAGCTTGTTCATTACTACCTTTTCATGGATGTCCAAAGATTGTTTAAATCTAGGATAGATGTGACGTGTAAACAAGCTCATTGTGAATTCTATTTAGGATTGTACTTCATGCATTTGATGAAGCAGATGTTGATCTGCCAAGGTCTATGTCATAATACACTGGTTAGTCCTTAAGGTGTCCCAAGACTCTCTGATCCCAAGAGTCATGATGGATAAGATGGTCTGTGCAGTTGAGCATTCTGTGCACGCAGTATTTATTTATTTATTTATTTAGTAAGCTTCTATGCCGCCCTATTCGCCAAAGCCTCGGGGCAGCTCATAACAATAACTAAATACATATTAAACATATAAAAACAATATAATTGGAGACTTCCTGGCTGAAGATATAAAATCAATAAATAAAGCTAACAATTAAAATGACGTTTAAATAAAAAGGTCTTCACCTGGCGCTGAAAAACAAATACTGACGGCACCAGGCGGACCTCTCTGGGGAGCGCATTCCATAGATTGGGCGCCACCGCAGAGAAAGCCCTCCTCCGGGTATTTACCCTCCTAATATCCTTCATGGAGGGTTCCCAGAGAAGGGCCTCTCCCGCTGATCTCAACCAGCTGCCCATGGGGTCCCACAAGCAGGACATGAGTGCAGTAGTTCCTTCCACCCAAGTTCCCCAGCATACTGCCTTTGCTTCTGGAGTAGCATATGGCCATCAGGACCAGTAGCCACTGATAGCCTTCCCACCATGTAAAAATAGGACACAAATATCATTTTAAGCCACGTAGACTGCAGTCCTATGTGTACTTATCTGGGAGTTAGTTTCACTACACTCAGCTGAACTTACTTCAGACAAGCACATGATTGTCCTGTTAATATGCATGGCTGAGATTCAAATTTGAACACAATTCATTATAATCCCATCCAGGTTGAACTCTAGCTCTTAAAACTGTCAAACAACAGACACTCTATAAAACAAATAGTCTCAAATGCCCAAATAGTCTCAAATAGTCTCAAATGCCCAAATTGTAATTATTGTGGTGTAAACAGTTCTAAAAGGGGTCCAGGCAATAAAATAAATTTTTTGCCCATGGGTGCTCTTAGCAAAACAAAAACAAAGAAAAAGAAACCCAGTGCGAATGGGTGTGATCCTATTAGTTATTCAAGGAAGGACTGCAAAATTGTGCAAATTTATTCAACAATAAATTTCTTGGAAATACATTTATCAGGCTGTCCTAAGCATGCTGGCTCAGAAGAAAGTTCCAGTGAGTTCAATTGGACCTAAGTATAGGATTAAGCAGCCTTGGGGAGATCGTCCTCTGGCGTTGTTCTCTTGATCAAACATAAATATATCAAAAGAAATCCCAACTCACATCACACTGGAATGGCTTCTCCCCTGTGTGGGTCCTCATATGCTCATCGAGGCCACGTTTCTGACTGAAGGCCTTGTTGCACTCGGAACACTGGTAAGGCTTTTCCTGGAATACAGTAACAAAAGAGGGAGTGAAAGTGAGTCAGACCTAATGACCAACCGTTAAAGGCTTGCATCCCATGGCAAATGGTTCAACTTCCATAACAGTTCCAAGAAGTAGATGTATGTTAGTGTAAAAAGCAGAACAATAAGACTTAAAAATGGATGAAAACCTGGTGGGAAACCTGTGATCTGCCACTTCAACTTCAACACAGAGGAATTATCTTACATTTTCCTCCACTTACCAAACTGGTTGCAAGTCTGTTTTTCATAACTCCCCATATGAACAACCAAAGAATATGAGTAAGTCTCAGAAACCCTGATTTACAATGTATTAGAGAAGCATTTTGATTGAAGCCAGTTTCAATTCAGTTAACCATAACACCAAAGACCACAAGCACAAGGATTCCCAGAAGCATACAATGAAAGGGAAATATCTGTACCATGAAAGACAACTGTGGATAGACTATGCACTGACTGTCTTTGAAATTATGGGCATGTTCTTCAGTTCTACCAGTAACACTGGAAGGAGATTCCTGTTGTTGTGTGTTCTAAAAAGAACTGTATCTATATATTATTACTTACACAAACCTCTTCAGTACCAACACACCAAATCCATGATAAAAACAACTACCAAGACATGGTGCATACCCATAGAGTCAAAGGATAGTCAGGTCAGAAGGCATCAAGAAGGCCATCAGGTCCAACCCCCTGCTGGTGCAGCATGCCAAGTCGCAGCATGTCACTCAGATGACCGTCCATCTGAACTCCATGAATAGTCTTACCATAGTCCTGATGATGGAACGGTCGCATAGCTTTTCCCTTCAGAGAAATGTTTGTGCACTTTTGTGCCTTTTTAATATTTATTTTATTTTGGGTAACGAACAGAACAAGATGATTCCTAGCAAACAAGATATTTTAAAACATATCTTGTGAGTCCCACCTTCAAGCTTTTACGTCAATGATTTTTTTCTGATTATAGATTGAGTAAATACTTCATGGACAGGCCCCTGTAATTTTTACAGAAGTGTATGTCTCAGCCATATGAAAAACAGGCTTCACCAACACACCCTTAATTTGTTTTGTATTGTAGTTAATGCAAACCACATTGCGTGTAAGCCCTCTAAAAATCCATTTTATTATGTGCATGAGCCGTTTGGTAGAACACTCAAAATAAAAGTACAATAAGCAGTTCCAACCTCTGAGTTGCAGAGAAATGCAGTCATTATACAGAACAATCACAGCTTTGGGAATGCTGTTCCTTTCTCACAAATATTTCAGTTATAATTTTCTGTACTATCAATTGAAGATGCTGTCCCACAGTCCAAAAATAAATGGCTCACTTCATCTTGGTATGTTGAAGGTGACACATAAGAAGTGGACATTTGAAGGAGGACATCCTTGGGTAAGAAGGATGAGGAGAAATAATGATACTCCCAGGAAAGATTATTCTGGGCTGAAGCCATTGGAAGTCAGCAGTTTCATTTTATTGCTTTCCAAATGTAATGTACTGGAACCTGGCAGGGAAACTAGTTCTGTCTGCAGTGGTTGGTAAGCTCAGTGCTAAGAAGGCAGACAGAAGATGCTTCCACATCAGGCACTTAGTGCAGAACTGCTGTGCTTTATTCACTCACTTTCTATAAGGCAACCATACAATACTGTCATCCAGTCAGAGTTACCCTGCATTTTTCATCTGTTTTCCCCATCTATTTGCAGACTGCAAGTAGTTCAACTTTTTTGCAGAAGAACCAAGCACTATTGCAATTTCCATATGTGTAGATCCTTGTAGAACTGCTCTTCTGTCATTGTTAGATGGAAGTTTTTTGACAACTGTGGTCAACCTAACACAGCTCAGTATGCTCTTAGCTGGGCACCATTTTACAACCAAATTTATATTTATATAAATATATAAATGTATATATTCGATATACACTGTGTGTGTGTGTGTGCTTGCTTGCTTGCTTGCTTGCTTGCTTGCTTGCTTGCTTGCTTGCTTGCTTGCTTGAACGGTGGAAGATGCACAGACAAATAAAAGGGGCAAAAGAACCATTTCATTACCTGGAAAGGTTGCTTCCTGGTTCATGCGGAAATGCTATCTTTAAATGTCCCCCAGGTTAGATGTGTTCTTTGCCCACAGAAATTAATGGAAAAACCAGTATTTTAATGTTGCTGGGACTGGGCAGCAGTATGTCCACTCCACCACCCTGATCCAAAAGGCAACAGCAAAGAGTCTTTCTCTTTCTAACTCAGTTCTTAATCAGTATGAAACATTTTTAAAGAGCTGTTAATGCAAATGTCAAAGTACATTTTGACCACCATAACACAGCTGTAAACCGTTCCAAGAGCAATGCGCTGAGAGAATGGTATATAAAAATGTTTAAATAAAGAAAGAAATAGTTGACTATTCAAAAACTAACTAAATTAATAGGATATAAGACCCAGGTTAGGGCAGCAACTCCTGCCTTTGATGCCGACTTCTGTTTTCTCAGCCGCAGGCTTAGGAAACACATGCACACTAAGGATAAAATGCATATTTGGTTGCAAGGCCCTGCTTGTCCTTTTATGAATAATCAGGTTTTCATATATGTGCGACTGCATAGCTGTTGAACCGAATGGAGCCATTTACAATTTCCACTAATAGGACTGGTTCATAAATATATGTTCATCAGTCACAGACTTTGACATTGACTTCAATCCTACAGGGAAGGAGCACAGCACAAGAAGAAGAGAGGACAGTGGACAGAGCATAGCTTCCACCATGAAGTTTTAATATATGGCCATGGAACGCATTTGCTGTGTGTTGGTTTCCATAAAAGAGGAAGGTTAAAGAGTTGCCTTTACTACATTTGCCTTGATTTATGATTATCATATTTTATATTTACTAACCTACCTAGCAATAGGGACAACTGTCTATACACCCTACTCATTTTTATGTTTCTGCCATCAATAAATGCAAACAGATGTCATTCTTTTACTTTAGAGAATGGAAGTTGTTGCTTCTGCTGTCTAATAGATGCTCCATAAGTAGTTGGAATTTACAATACTAGGAGCTCTTCACTGCCTGTGAAATGATTTTCTTTTTTACTATTTTCTGAATGATCATCTGTTTTTTGATAGTCAGGCTACTCCGCATGCCATATTCTGTGCTTTTCAATCTTTTATTATCTGATTTAAGGTCTTCAGAGTCCCCACTGTCCTTCCCAGTGGCAATAATTTCCTTCCCAAATCAATCCTATAGTTTTTATCATAATATTTTGTATATATTTACTGCTACACAGGAAGTACCATGCAACATCATTTTCACACCATGAATGTACTCTTTGTTCGAAAACATCAGTTACTTCTCAAAAAAACTAGGACAGTTATCATTTGCAGCACTTGCTTTTGTTTTGTGGACAGAAAAGCCAACTTTGCAGAAATTAACATTATTCTTCTATGCTACTTCTAAGCAAATGAGAAGGTCCCTACTGACATGTGGTATCATCGCTCACATGGAAACATGCCTCCTCAGAATGGATGTCCCCGTATGCAGATCAGCCCACACGAAAAACTAAGGTCTAATTTTCACAAAGAGTACATGAAAAAGTAAAGTTCTGCCTGGGCTGTACCACTGCAGAAAGCAGGTGACTGCAAAGACCTAAACCTTTCATGTAGAAAAAAGACAATAACTAATTCCTTATGCTAAAAAATTAGATATCAAATGAAATTTTCTAGTATTATCTTCTCTATGGCATGCTAGATTTTTTCGTGCAAAAAAAAAAAAATCACCACCTCTAGGGGCATCAGAAAACAATGTTTTGAGATCACCAGGATTCTCTCAATCTCACCTTACCCTTGTCTTGTACCTGATTCCCCTTCACAATCACTACTTTCTCTGTGCAAACAGGAAACTTGCACAAATCAAGCAGCAATTGAATGGGAGATTTCAGCAAGCTGCCCAAAATTTGCATTGATTTCCCAATTTGTGCAACTTGCCCCCACAGATTAAAGTGCAGCTGATTCAATCCATGGAGGAAGCTTGCACAAATTGGGAATGAGCCAAATTCAAGCATGCATTCAACCACTTACAAATGCTTTCAGCAGACATGGACTCATGCTCATGTTTACAATTTTGAATAAAACAAGCTCACATTTTTTCTGAGCAAAACTGAAATTCTCATATACCTGCAGGAGCAATTTAGTCATGTGACCCCTTATAGAAGGTAATAGCAATGGTCAGATACAGCTTTATCTTCACAGCAACTGCCTATGAAAACTAGGCCTCCATTTCAGAGGAAATTTAGAAGGAGCTTAGAAAGCGCTGTGTGTGAGAGAGAGAGAGAGAGTGTATGTCTGTGTGCATGCACCTTGGGAGGCTTGCTTTTAAGCAACAGCTTTAAAAGGAAATTACATAAATTCATAATCCAGTCAGCGGCTGAAGTACAGAATTACTTACATGGCCCCAATGCCTTGCCATATGTATCATCAACACATACTGGAGTAGTCATGCAACCCTCCCCCACAACACACCAGCCTGGAATCTGCCACCAGGCACTCGGAGGAGCAACTGAAACATCTGGAAAAGGCTGATGTTGTAGGCTAGCATGCCTCTCATATCTACAGTGGCCTCTAGAGTTGTTTTCCTGACTCCTGAAGGACAGACAGCTGCCAACATTGTGTGGCTTTTGGTGCCTTCTGAAAACATCTTGGTTTCAAGAAGCCTTCCTTGATTGACTAGCCATGGTTTTTATTGGTACTCTGCTTTTAAAAATAAAAATGGTGCTTTATCCTTTCCATCTTTTATTATCTGTGTAGATGTGGAGCAGTACATAAAATAAAAATAGACTGGAAGAGAATAGAACCAAATATGTTCTCTAGGAATGTCCCTAGGCTTGTCACATAGCTCAGCTCAGCCTTCACTTTATCATTCTTCTATTGCAAGTGTGTCTGAGCTCTAACCAGTTTAGAGAAGATAGGAAAGAATGGGGAGGATTCCGTACAGTCAAGCAACTTCATCATACAATCCTG